GGTTTTCCTGTCCCGCTGCTCCAGTTGGAACACCCAGGGTATGCAGCCGATTTAGAGAAAAATCACTTTCCACGAACTGAACGCCTCATAGCTTTGTCAAATTGAATCAACCATGACTTATTCCCATGTTATCTGAGCAGCCTTAATGTGGGAGAGGGAGGGTAGACTAGAATTACTACCCCCCGACAAGGATGTCGTAAGGGACGACTAATTAAGTTTTGTTCAAATTGGATGTTTTGGATCGAAAGGATGGCAGCCTGGCTGTAAACCACATCACAGCCTGTTTTTAAGGGCGAACGCAGAAAAAAAACTAAAAGCCGTGTGTATGGTTTAGAAATCCGGACACTATACAGCCATTGATCATTTACACAGACGGTTCAGTGTCAAGAGGCAAAAGAAGTGCTTGGGGCTTTTTAGCAAAAGTTAATGGTCGACGTTTGGTGCAGGAGAGCCTAGCATATGTTACCACAACATCCAGCTTAAGAATGGAGGTGGAGGCGGTCACTGCAGCTTTCCGCTGACTAGAGAACACGACACACACACACACATTGTAATTGTAACTGATTCAGAAAGCATGCTGAGGAAGATCAGAACAGGTATGCTTCGTGCAGAGTGGCATGCTTCGCTGCGGAGGACACGTGTGAGGAGTATTGTCTGGATTTTTTCACCGGGTCACGCCGGTGTGTTTGGAAATGAACAGGCGGACAGACTGGCTGGCTCTGCACAACTTGGTGGAATACTGCTACATGATAGGGCAGACGTGGTTAGTGCCTTGTGAGAGAGCGTGTACAATGGGGAGGAGCAGATGGATCACCACAGTCTGGTGAGATTGATGCAGTTGGGGGTGACGAGAGGTTCTGGCACAAGCTCAAGGCTCAGATAAAGGCAAGACGGACGTTTAATCAGAAAGCTTCTGGCACCATTAGTATCGGAACTCTTCGCTGGCTGCTGAAGATGGGGACGGAGCGCTTATAGGAATGCCCCGAGTGCTGTGATGTCGGTTCTTGAATCAAATCAAATCAAATCATACAGCCATAATTTCGAATTCCTGTTGCGGAGTTGATGTATAGACAGGCAAGAACTTTCTATTTCATGGAAACAAAAAGCAAATGGAGAGACTGAAAAATTAACAGGCGATTTGTTTACCCTTTTCCATGCCTTCATGTGTATTGGGCATATAGGGCTAGAACTATATTCTACAGACAAATCGGCACTTGGTGGGTGATGTGGTCAGTATCACGAAGGCCGCTTTTACTTCCCAGGACTGTACCTGGTACCCATTCAAGGCTGGGTCAACCTGGGAGTCAAGGTCAGTTTTGAAAAAAAGTCTTCTCTGTCAGGACCCGAACCTACGATCTTTCGATCCCCAGGCGAGCATCTAGCCGCTACACCTAAGCGACTCCTTAACAGAGGATTGTTGGAAGAAATTACAAAAAAAAAAAAAAAAAATTTGAAATATTGGTAATGGCTTTACTTAGTAAGTAAATTCCTCTCCTAGCATGGATTGTTGAGGTTTACCAGAAAGATCGTCAAACGTCTCTACCGACAGTTTTTTAAACTGCTGAATGACTTAACACTGTTTTAAAAAACAGGGGAGTGGTCAAAGGCAGGCAAGCAATAGTTAGACAGCGCTACAAGTGTGAGGATAACATCAAGAGATGGACGAACAGCAGCTTGGAAGGGTGTACGACCACAAGAAGAGACATGAGCTTGAAGATCCATTACAGCTAACCTGCAATGCGGAGACGACACCTAATTAAATGACCGGCAATTAGTTTATCATTATAGTGCAGTTAGGATTCTGGAATTATGAAACTACGTTCAGAATCACCAAACCACTGTTGCTGCCCCAGACTGTTAGAATATACCAAATAATACACCAGACAACTTGTAAACAGAAACATTCGGTAACATCCAATAACACACATTAGACAACTTGTAAACAGAAACATTCGGTAACATCAAATAACACACATTAGACAACTTGTAAACAGAAAATTCAGTAACATCAAATAACACACATTAGACAACTTGTAAACAGAAAAATTCGGTAACATCAAATAACACACATTAGACAAATTGTAAACAGAAAATTCAGAAACATCAAATAATACACATTAGACAAATTGTAAACAGAAAATTCAGTAACCTCAAATAACACACATTAGACAACTTGTAAACAGAAAATTCACTAACATAAATAACACACATTAGGCAATTCGTAAACAGAAAGTAAACAGAAAATTCAATAAGACCATACATCACAAAGTGTACCACTCTCAAACAGAAAATTCAATAATCTGGTGTATTTATATCATAGGTAAACGTGTTATACAAAGATAACATCTGTTAGTTCTGTTTCCGTCTTCATCTATGATGAAAACCCACTAAGTTTTAAAAACAACAAAAGAAAAAAATTTAAAACATTAACGGAAAGAACTCCAAAGTAACCTCCTTAAACCTTACCATGAAGTTAGGAAGTGATTTCAAACAGCTTAGATAATTTCACAAAGCACAATCTAGCCAATGAGACGGTGTGAATTGGCAGATATGAGACTATGCGTTACTTAATAATACAGTCGCGTCTTTATGCACCTATGTATCATTATATCATCATGTAGCAGGTCTTTTGTAAAACCTTTCTAACAGAGGGGTCTAGTTGGTCATTCGTCTTAGTATACCTGTTCCTGCAGCGAGGTACTGTCGTCATTTGGAAGGGACAGGTCCTATTCGCGACTTGATAATCATAGCTTTCGAAATGAATGAGGTCTAGATTGTTTTAAAGCCATTATTATTTTTATGATCCATGCCATATGGCGTTGGTAGTCATATCTAACCACAACCTTCTGTCCTGTGTACTTTCATTCAGACATCTTCATAGGTATTTAAATCTGTTCAGTGTATTCTCTTCATTCGTCTGTAAAACCACATCTCCGTTGCTTCCACATAATTTTTGACTAATCGTCCAACTGTCCATGATTTACTTCCGCATATCAAGATATGATTTAAACAAATCTTGAGATTTCTCCTTCTAATCTCAGTTGACAAAGAAAGATTGCATAGAATATTTTCCATTTTGTAAAATGCTACCCTTGCTTGAGCTATTCTACATTTAATTTCTTTCATACATCTTCCATCAGATATTATCTGAGTTTACAAGTACTTACACATTTCAAATGGCTTGAGGATTGTCTCATTGACTCTCATGCTGCTTTTCAGAAAGCCATTTTCTGCGTGGTTAACGTTACTTCAGTTTTTCTGCAGTCAAAACTAAAACCCTTTTACCCAGATTTACGGTACCTATCATGGAATCACTGTTCACCTTCCACCACACATGTCTACGTAGAATTATCAAAATTTTCTGGCCAGATACAATCTCAAACATTAAACTACTTCAAACCACAAACCAAGAAACTTTAGACAGTATGATTACCAAGAGAAGATAGAAATGGCTTGGCCACGTTATGAGAATGACTTCTGATATACCTGCAAAAACAGCTCTCACATGGACACCAGAGGGAAAGAGAAAACAGGGGCGCCCAAAAACAACATGGAGACGAACGATGGAAAGTGACCTGAGTGCGGCATCTTTGACATGGAAAACTGCATTGAAGATTGCACAGGACAGGAAAGCATGAAAAGTCCCCTCTGAAGCCTCATGTGCCACTAGGCATAACGAGAACTGATGATGACTGATGATCATGGAATCAAGGCCGAAGGGTTGCGATATCCATAGTAGCAAGCCAAAGGGTTTACAACTCATGGTTTCTGGATATTTAAAAAAAAAGTGATACCTAAATGTTTGAGGTAAACACCTTATTAATACATAATAACTGGTAACTGTACAATGCGTGTCTCTGTTATTTTTCATCAGTAGAGTTACGAAGTACAATTTTTACAATGAGTTTTGCTCTCCTAGGCTCGTTTATACTAGTATTTTTTTGCTGTACACCTTGTTTTTAATTACCAAATCCATGATTTTGATGTAAATATAAAATTGATTTTATTATTAACTTATATTTAAATATCGTTGAATAGCGCTACAGACAGGTCAGATTTGTGATGCTTTGCTACGGGGAAAAAAACCCATCTTCACGTTCAACCAGCAACTTCGCCCGAAAGAGGAGCTTTAGGTTATAATTGTGACTAGGTTATGTGCGCCATATAAAATGGCTTAACACTGCACGCTATCAAGAGCACTGAAAAGAAATGCGGCAGAGTTAATGCGATCAAAGGAGACACACCCAAATACTTACAGTCCCTACCAGCGAGAAATCGTCCACCGGCGAGCCAATTGGCGACCAGTCGCCGAAGGATCTAATACACTGCTTTCCAAGGACCTAAAATGATGTTAACGGATTGTTGAAGATGGCTAGGCAAAGCTCATCGTGGCAACATTAGCTGTCGTTATTGCTACAAATAATTGCATCTTTTCTAGATTACTTTGCATTGAAGTTATTAAACTAGATGTCATTGTTGCTACACTTCTTGACATTGTTTGCTAAATTTGTTGGCATTTAAAAAAAATTCAATAATTGTTATTGTTGTTGTTAAAATAGCTGGTCGTCTTGCTACATTTCTTGTTGCTTTTGCTAAGTATGTTGTCACTCTTGCTACATTAGTTGTCATTGTGTCTACATTACTTGTCTTTGGCGCTAAACATATTGTCATTGTTGCTAAATTTGTTGGAATTATAGCCACATTAGCATTCAGTGTTTCGAAATTAGTTGCAGTGGTGCTAAATGATCTGTGATTATTGTTACGCTAGCTATCACTGTTAATAAATTAGCTGTCATTGCTTGTAATAATAATATGATGGCTATAATTTACAATGCATTAAATTCTAACCGCAAACGATTATTTTAAATCGATACCGTATAAACCACATTTGTACACATCAAAAGTAATTAAGATTATAATTTCAAAATAAAGCAAGACTGAAATAGCTATCTTAATTATGCGTTGAATAAGCAGCCCCTTGAAGGCCGATGTGTTGAGAGTTAGGGTTCGAACATATCCCAGGAGTGGTAATTGTGCTCTCTCCAGCGCTGTCTGGGCTGCTCCTGCACTAGAACCCTGTCAACCTCAAGGACGTTTCCGTTGGTGGCCGTGACGTCACATCTGGTCACGTGGGCGCTGCCAATTTTGGGCCGGTTGTCGTGGTCACGTGATAGTCGAAGGTGATGGCCGGTGACAGTTGCTACTTGAGAGCGGCCAAACCAGTGACGACGGAATATTCCAGCACAGCACAACGTTCCTGTGAGCAGTATTATTATTATTATTATTATTATTAGTATAAGTAGTAGTAGTAGTAGTAGTAGTAGTAGTAGTAGTAGTAGTAGTAGTAGTAGTAGTAGTAGTAGTAGTAGTAGTAGTAGTAGTAGTAGTAGTAGTAGAGGTAGTAGTAGTAGTAGTAGTGATGGTGAGGGTAGTAGTTGGTGGTTATAGTATAAGTGGTGGTATTAATGTTTGATTGTGGTAATAATAGAGGTGATGGTGTTCGGAGTGGTAGTGATGCTGGTTTTAGTGCTCCTGGTATGGTGGTATTGTTTTTTGTTGTGGGAGAATAAGTTGTAGCAGTAGTGGTTGTGATGCTTGTAGCAGCAATGGAGGTTGTAGGGTGGTGGTGGTTGTAGCAGTAACACTAGCAATAGTAGCAGTAACACTAGCAGTAGTAGCAGTAACACTAGCAGTAGTAGCGGTAACACTAGCAGTAGTAGCGGTAACACTAGCAGTAGTAGCGGTAACACTAACAGTAGTAGCAGTAACACTAGCAGTAGTAGCGGTAACAGTAGCAGTAGTAGCGGTAACACTAGCAGTAGTAGCGGTAACACTAACAGTAGTAGCAGTAACACTAGCAGTAGTAGCGGTAACAGTAGCAGTAACACTAGCAGTAGTAGCAGTAACACTAGCAGTAGTAGCGGTAACACTAGCAGTAGTAGCAGTAACACTAGCAGTGGTAGCGGTAACACTAGCAGTGGTAGCAGTAACACTAGCAGTGGTAGCGGTAACACTAGCAGTAGTAGCGCTAACACTAGCAGTGGTAGCGGTAACACTAGCAGTAGTAGCGGTAACATTAGCAGTAGTAGCGGTAACACTAGCAGTAGTAGCGGTAACACTAGCAGCAGTAGCAGTAACACTAGCAGAAGTAGCGTTAACACTAGCAGTAGTAGCGATAACACTAGCAGTAGTATCGGTAACACTAGCAGTAGTAGCAGTAACATTAGCAGTAGTATCGGTAACAGTAGCAGTAGTAGCAGTAACACTAGCAGTAGTAGCGGTAACACTAGCAGTAATAGCGGTAACACTAGCAGTAGTAGCAGTAACACTAGCAGTAGTAGGGGTAACACTAGCAGTAGTAGCAGTAACAGTAGCAGTAGTAGCGGTAACACTAGCAGTAGTAGCGGTAACACTAGCAGTAGTAGCGGTAACACTAGCAGTAGTAGGGGTAACACTAGCAGTAGTAGCAGTAACAGTAGCAGTAGTAGCGGTAACACTAGCAGTAGTAGCGGTAACACTAGCATTAGTAGCGGTAACACTAGCAGTAGTAGCAGTAACACTAGCAGTAGTAGTGGTAACACTAGCAGTAGTAGCGGTAACACTAGCAGTAGTAGCGGTAACACTAGCAGTAGTAGCGGTAACACTAGCAGTAGTAGCGGTAACACTAGCAGTAGTAGCGGTAACACTAGCAGCAGTAGCAGTAACACTAGCAGAAGTAGCGTTAACACTAGCAGTAGTAGCGATAACACTAGCAGTAGTATCGGTAACACTAGCAGTAGTAGCAGTAACATTAGCAGTAGTATCGGTAACAGTAGCAGTAGTAGCAGTAACACTAGCAGTAGTAGCGGTAACACTAGCAGTAATAGCGGTAACACTAGCAGTAGTAGCGGTAACACTAGCAGCAGTAGCAGTAACACTAGCAGAAGTAGCGTTAACACTAGCAGTAGTAGCGATAACACTAGCAGTAGTATCGGTAACACTAGCAGTAGTAGCAGTAACATTAGCAGTAGTATCGGTAACAGTAGCAGTAGTAGCAGTAACACTAGCAGTAGTAGCGGTAACACTAGCAGTAATAGCGGTAACACTAGCAGTAGTAGCAGTAACACTAGCAGTAGTAGGGTAACACTAGCAGTAGTAGCAGTAACAGTAGCAGTAGTAGCGGTAACACTAGCAGTAGTAGCGGTAACACTAGCAGTAGTAGCGGTAACACTAGCAGTAGTAGGGGTAACACTAGCAGTAGTAGCAGTAACAGTAGCAGTAGTAGCGGTAACACTAGCAGTAGTAGCGGTAACACTAGCAGTAGTAGCGGTAACACTAGCAGTAGTAGCAGTAACACTAGCAGTAGTAGTGGTAACACTAGCAGTAGTAGCGGTAACACTAGCAGTAGTAGCGGTAACACTAGCAGTAGTAGCGGTAACACTAGCAGTAGTAGCGTTAACACTAGCAGTAATAGCGGTAACACTAGCAGTAGTAGCGGTAACACTAGCAGTAGTAGCAGTAAAACTAGCAGTAGTAGCGGTAACACTAGCAGTAGTAGCGGTAACACTAGCAGTAGTAGCGGTAACACTAGCAGTAGTAGCAGTAACACTAGCAGTAGTAGCGGTAACACTAGCAGTAGTAGCGGTAACACTAGCAGTAGTAGCGGTAACACTAGCAGTAGTAGCGGTAACACTAGCAGTAGTAGCGGTAACACTAGCAGTAGTAGCGGTAACACTAGCAGTAGTAGCGTTAACACTAGCAGTAATAGCGGTAACACTAGCAGTAGTAGCGGTAACACTAGCAGTAGTAGCAGTAAAACTAGCAGTAGTAGCGGTAACACTAGCAGTAGTAGCGGTAACACTAGCAGTAGTAGCGGTAACACTAGCAGTAGTAGCAGTAACACTAGCAGTAGTAGCGGTAACACTAGCAGTAGTAGCGGTAACACTAGCAGTAGTAGCGGTAACAATAGAGCCAGAAGCGCACACAGAAGGAGCAGTGACAAAAAAAAATATATTCCTTTCCACTGCCTCAGATGTATCAGGGATTTAGGGCTAGATCTCTATTTTATAGACCATTCGAACTTGGACATTTAGCTGGTCATTTTTGAAAAGTCTAGAACCTTCCAGTAACATTATTATTAATCGTAGTAATATTTTTGTAGTAGTAATAAAGACATAAAGGTATTGTAGTTATAGTTAGTGAGGTAGTCATTACTAGCCATCCTTCGTGTGCCGTTAGACGTCACATAGGGTCGCATTCGATTCCTCCACTCCGCTCTATTGCATGAAACTCCCGATTACTGACACCGAGTTCAGCCCAACACTTTTAGCCTCTTGTAATAATGTTTTTCTTATTGTTTTCCTTGAACGTCCTCTTTTTCTCTCACCGTTTGTTTCCAATTTCAGTGCTTGTTTTAATTAAGGCAGTAATAGCAGTAATATTAGTAGTAGCATTAGCAGCGCCTGCAGTTTATCTATATACTCTTCATATCGGTGATAACACACAAGACATTCACAAGTGATTCCCCCCCCACCCCTTTTTTTTGCATTCCTTTATTTCCTTTTTTTTTTTTACTGTCCTTCGCCAGGTTTCCTTCTAGATGTCTACATCTTCTTTCTCCATTTCGGGCACAACTGGCAGGTGCAGATAGATCACCACAGTGTAGTGAAAGTGATGCAATGAGAAGTAACGAGGGGCTCTGGCCGATACTGGACGCTCAAAAGAAAGGCGGCAAGACGGACGTATGATCAGACTGCTTTTGTCATCATTGGTACTGGAAGTCTGCTCTGGCTGCCGAAGATAGGGACAGAGCGATTATGGTAATACCCCGAGTGCTTTGATGTCGGTTCTTGCATCAACTCAACTCAGCTTCTTTCTCCACCTTCAGTACACCGGAGAGCTGTCCTTGTCAAAGTATTACAAGACATTTGACAGACATGTCCAATCCATCTCCAGCTGCCTCAGTTTGATACAGTTTGCAGTGATAAACATTTTCCTTCCCCCCTCAGCTTTTGCATTTGTGATCTTGTTTGACCAGAATATCCACAGAAGTTTCCCTAGACGCCTATGCACAAAACCTCTAGTGTATATTTCATTCCTGCCGTCCTTTCCCAACATTCACAGAATGCAATTATAAACCTCCCTAAAATGCTACTGTTGTATAATCTTAGTTTTCTAACTGAATGTTGAATTGAATGTTGGTTGTTGAATTAAGAATCGTCATCACAGCACTCGGGATACCCGCATAAGCGCTCCGCCCCCACTTCAGCAGCAAGCGAAGAATTAAAATTCCGATGGTACCAGTAACTGTCTGATTGTATATCCGTCTCGTCTTACCCCTGAGTGTAGAGCGTTGGCCGGATCCCCATGTAACTCCTCGCAGTGCCATTCTCCTCAGACTGTAATGATCTATCTGTGCAGTTTTCTAACTTTAATATTAATAAACATTTCATTATTAAATATAATAGATATAACATTAAGAATAATTGAAGCTGTATTTGCCTATGAGTTGTTCGTTCACTTATGGAGTTTGGTTTTATTCCTAAACTTGAGTTTCGAGTGCACATCCGTTTTACAGTTCTTGCTTAATTATAAGCAGGCTGTTGGTTACTTGCCTCTCAGGCAGATGCACGCCGACTTTGAATGAAACACCTCTAATTAGTCGGCTTTTACGACATGCTTTTAGAGGCTAGTGGGTCTATTCTCTCCCCTCCCCCCAAGGGGCCTCAGAACCCACAGAGGGAACAATCATATTAATAACCATATCCATTATAAAAATAACAGACATAACATTAACACTTTTAGTTCCAAGGAACGCATCATACGGTTATAGGTCCCTACCTAGATTCCCGATAAATGCAAGATGGGTCGAGTTTACATCTCTCTTCACCACCCCCTTGGATCTCCCGGGGTCTGAAAGAGTTAATAGTAACAGAAGCCCGGTGAATGCAAGATGGGTCGAGTTTACATCTCTCTTTACCACCGCTTGGGTCTTCCTGGGCATGAAAGAGTTAATATTAACATAAGCTGTAGTTGCCTATGGAGAGGCACAACTTACCGTCCACGATATGACCCTTCACGAGCTTCTGCAGCCTGCTTCGATCCTTCCCTATGGAGTCCACAGCATCCTGTCCCATCTTCTCAAAGGCCTGTATGGAAGAGAGACTTTTATTCAAAGCGGTGTCATCTGCAACCACAGACAGTTCCTTCATCATCATCAATATCATCATCATCACTTTCACTTTTTCCGTTAAGCGGCGTGGGAAGGAACAGCTTGCGATCCATTGCTTGATAGGTAGCACTGGCTTTTGTCATTTGGGTATGACGTATCTGCCTGCTCCTAGGGCGACCTCTTGCCGTCGCATTTTTTTTTTTTTTTTCATGTGCAGTGTCTGTGTTGGTAATTGTTGCGGCTCCACCCCAACAAGATGACTAAAACATTTGATCTGTTTCTCAATGAATTTGGTGGCAAATAATTCAACGAAATATTATATGATAGGGATTATGATGTTATAGATTACACTGAACAGACAGTGAAATGAAGGAAATCAATAGGTACATACACGAACAGGAGTGCAGAAAGGTTCAGAGCTGAGCGTCTTGTCAAAATAAAACATAAAATAAAAACACATTTCACAAACATGTGATGGAAATAATGGTTTTGTAATCTGATGCTCTAATTATGGACAACTTTGCTTATGGTGAGCGGGTCTTGCTAGTGACACTCACCATCGCCAGAGGCTGTGAGTCCCATGCCTCAATATAGCAAAATATAACAATATCCTCTGGAAATACGGATAGGTGTCAATGATATCAAATGAAATGGGACAATTGTCTTTCAGAGCAGAGAATGGGTGGCCAAGACCATAGTCTGTCTGCTACATCGATCAATGCGCTATTTGTACCAACTGTATCCTGCCAGTTCCAGACATGGACAGTCCTAGGAAAGCATACACGTAAAAATAACAAACCTTGCTTGAGATGAGATGTATAAGAATTGCGATGGGAAAAACAAGAAGAGATAGTCACAGAACAATCAAGAACAATGGTAGGCACACTACCGACAAATGATTTCGTAGAGCATCAAAGAATAAAATAGGGCATTTAGCCATATTGGAACAAAATCAGCCAGCAGCTAGAGCGTACCACACACCAGAACAGCTGGCTACAAGTCAAGAGGCCGACCAAGAAAGAGATGGATGGATGGAGAAAAAGAGATACTACAAAAAGAAAAGCTGTTTCAGGGAATACAAGCTGGTTTTTTCCCCTTTACAGGACATGTCAAACCGACTCCAGCAATTTAAGCGACTTGTGGTTTATCTTCGCGTTTGCCATTGCTTTCAATTCTCAAGTACATGTGTAAATTATGCCCATACAATTAGCAGTAGTGGGCATATGATGCAATCCCCATGATGGACAGTCTGCTTGTGATATGGTCAAAACCGGTCACTTTTACTTCCTTAAACATTGCGTGGTACTGATTTTAAGCTGGACTGATTTGAAAACCCAAATCTAATTTGATGATATTTTCTCAAAATAACTGCAGCCTAGACAGGGGATGTTTTGTAATAACAACTGGAAAGTAAGAGAGTTAACAAAATAACTGTACAGGACAAGAACATAAATGTGGCGTATATATAGTGTAACCAATGCACGCAGTGTGAGTTCCTTGGTCCTCAAAGAGTTAATACCCATTTTATTTTTCAACAGGCGGTTCATCGTCTTGACTCTCTATCTCAACATGTTTGGAACGTAGCGCATTCAGTATGTCTGCCCTGCTCCTACTACTTCGTCCACTAACCAAGACGTTTGCGTGAACCAACTGAGAACTGAATCTGCAACCATGGTCAGACTGCAAGAACAACATGTTAAACGGGGTGTCGCCAAACAAGAACACTACGCGGGTAGTCAAAGAAGAAGAATAAACCAACACAGAGCTGGTGTCGTTAGCCGCTACACGCTGCGGGATTTACTGACGAGGGGATCCGAGCACTTATGAACTGAATAGTTCGACGTGCAATGAGGAGAATCTGTCGACTAACTAACTAACTAACCACTAACCAACTAACTAACTAGCCACTAACCAACTAACTAACTAGCCACTAACCACTGCAGACACGGCCAAACTAGCACTTATTCACGACATGAATGCACGACACTTCAGAGCTGGAGGCAAACGGTTTGATCACTTCATCATGGAGACACCACCCCTCCCCCTTCCCCCCAGACAACCCCAGAAAATGAGAGCGTAATATTGCATCAGAAAACGAGTATTACAATCTTATATCGAGCCTGTTCTGTTGTATGGTAGCGAATCTTGTAATGTAAGCAAAGAAATTAGGAAAAGTTTGGAGGCAACTGAGATGTGGTTCTTGTGAAATATGTTGAGAATACCTTGGAAAAGCCAACATTGAACGGATGGAAATGGTTACTGAAAGTAGAACATTATATACAACAATGAGAGGGAGACAAACAAAGTTCTTTGGTCACGTAAGGAGAAACGGTGTACTGGAAAATAAATTGACCACTGAGAAGATCACTGGTAGAAGAGGTAGAGGCAGACCAAGAGAAATGATGGTGGATAGTTTAAGACAGTGGCATGGAGGAATATCAACAGTACAATTGATCCAGAACACCAATGAACGAGATCTGTGGCCACGCATGAACGCCTAAGCCAGCTGGCAAAGGCACTGGATGATGATGAGGATTTCTCTAACCTCATTGTTGGGTGCAATTATAGTAAACGGTCCATGACCTTGTAGATCGTCAGCTAGGCCAGATTTTTTGATGAGTGAAACCAAAGTAGAAAACCTCTTGTCCAGTCCCAGCACATCTAGCACGTTGCCTTTAGGTGGCATCATAACCTGCGTGTGTGAGACAACACCTTGTTGAGTTGAAATAGATTGACTAAAGCACACACGTGCACACACGTGCACACACATACACACACACATACACACACACACACATGCAAACACCCTTGACATCCACAATCATGTGTGCATATTTATATTTACAAGTTTGCGCACGCACAAGCAACCGAAACATGACCATGAATAACAAGTCAAGAACCCTTGTCCTAGATACCAGAACTACATGTTTTTGACTAGTCAGCGTTTGATAGGTGATGTGTTCAGCATTACACCGGCAGCCTTTACTTCTCCGGACTTTACTTGTTACTCATTTAAGGCTGGGTCGATCACACATCCAAGGCCATTTTCGAAAAAAAAAAAATTTTAAGTCTGTCTTGATTGGGACCTGGACCCGAGACCTTTGAATCCGCAGGTAAGTCTATTCGCTATACCAGGGCGATTCCCAGCATTAATAATCACAACAATAATAACACTATATATATATATATATATATATATATATATATATATATATATATATATATATATATATATATATATACACACACAAGTGAACAGCTCGGATTTCAGTGGTTCTTTCTAAAGGCAAGTCATGACAAAACATCTTGTATTCTCAATATTGAAATCTCTGGAAACAGTTTTATTTTTCACTTTTTTCTTTCTCCCTATGGCCTCAATGGCCAACATATATAATTTTTCATTTTACCACAATAGTTATTTGTTGTTCCCTCTTACTTCCATTGCCACTTTTCAATCAATGTACGCTCACATTTATTTGCTATAACATCGCAGCACTGTTAATCTCATTGTGTAACTTTTGGGGCCGTGTTAACGCACTCGATAGGAGACTCACTTTCAAATCCAGCTGAGACTCGCTGCAGCCCACGGCCGGTGTTAATAACCGGGCGGTTCCCGGGGTTTACCCAGCCTCTCGTAATGTGTACGAGAGTAAACACTCTGGGGTAAATGGAGGAACGTCGCTGTAGCTACGGTGTTGCTTGCGGACGGCGACACAGGCGGACAGTTTCCTATCAGCTGTCCGTACTGGTGGCAGAGCACTTATGGTGTGTAACCGTGTGCAATGTGTTTGCTAACATCTCGCGACTTTACCTTACCTCGCGCAACTTTCTACTGGGCAACAAAGAATGACCTATTGTAGTTTACGTCCTGAGTATTTAATTTTTTGACCGAGCATTAACTCAAATCACTAAACAGCTTATTAATTACTGTGTGTGTGTGTTTTGTGTATGTGTTGTGTGTGTTGTGTGTGTGTGTTGTGTGTGCGTGTTGTGTGCTTTGTGTGCTGTGTGTGTGTGTTGTGTGTGTGTGTTGTGTGTGTGTGTTGTGTGTGTGTGTGTTGTGTGTGCGTGTTGTGTGCTGTGTGTGCTGTGTGTGTGTGTGAGTGTGTGTGTGTTCAACTTGTGTATAACTGCATCATGTCTGTAAAATTGGTAATCTTAGTTTCAGCTTCAAAGCAAACGGGTCACCTCATAACTGCTACTCCCCCGTACCAACGAAAAACACACAGCATGTTTATCACAGTCCCTTGTGGAAAGACTGACAGACTGCTGTCTCAGCATATGCACTAGCATAAACACGCATTAAAAGCATACGGTAGCCATCAGAAGTGCTAACACAAACAGCCAGACATTAGAAATGCAGTTAATCGTCGACGGGAGCAGTAGGTTACCCACAGATCAGCAGTTGCACACACGATCAATTTTAATCACATAAGAGCACCACCAATGTTGCGACGACAGGCCATGCGCCATTTTCTGAATCTCCAGTTCACAACATCCCATTGGTCACAGTCAAAAACATTCCAAATAAATTCTGCAGCTTTTTTTCCCCGGTAATGACCTTGACTCCCGGTTGACCCAGCCTTGAGTGGGTACCAGCTTTAGCAAACCCTGTGAAGTCAAGGCATCCGGCGTGATGCTGACAACATCACTTACTAAGTTCCGATTGGTCTATTATATGGGTCTAGCCCTATATGCCCAATACACATGAAAGCGTGGAAAAGACGGGAAAACCAATTGTGTTCTTTGTAAGGTGAAAGGTTTACTTCAACGTCCCATCGCTGTAAAACAATTCAAACCATTTCACATCCGGGGCACTATGACACAAGGTAAATGTCAAGGGCGTATTCAGGCGTATTGAACATATAGGGCTAGAACTATATTTTATAGACCTTGGTGGCTGATATGGTCAGCCTCACTCTGGCCGCCTTTACTTCCCAGCACTTTACGTGGTACCCATTTCTAGGCTGCGTCGACCTGGAAGACATTTTTGATTTTAAAAAAAACCATAAATAAAAGTCTGGCTCAGTTCGGATTTGAACCCACGATCTTCGAATCCGCAGCCGAGCGTCTAGCAACTACAAAACGGTGGTTGCCTGCACTATGACATGGAAACATATTAACAGTTAAATTTAAAAGTACCGACGATCTAGGCTGCATCGAGATATGAACGCTGACTTTTCCTAGTATTAATCTTGAAGAGGATATGAAAAGGTAATGTTTATAATTTAAACGAGAAGCTGCTGTGGTGTAGTGGCTAGACACTGGCCTACTGATCTGAAAGTAGTAGGTTCAAGTCCTCATGGAGCCGGACTTTACTTAAAAATCTCCTTGGCTACCAGGTTGACCCAGCCTCCAAGGGGCATCAGGTCAAGTCTTGGAATGTAAAGGCGGTGTAATGTCGACAACATCATCCACCAAGTGCCGATGGGCCTGTAAAATATATTCTTGCCCAATGTGCCCAAAGGCGTGGAAAAGGGTCATTTGTATTTACTGACTATTTTTATAAAACAGGTAAAACACTACTTACAGATTTGATGACGTTGATGCGACCGTTGCAGGCGTCAATATTCATTTGTGCAATTGGAGCACACTGGGCTGTTTTCACAAAGTGGTGATGATAAGGAAACTGCGTGATCGAGAGGGTTCCCGAGGAAAAGCAATGAAGATGCAATAAATAAAAGAATGACAGGACATAAAACATCGATAACAACTTAAAATGCCATAGATATGAAGTACATAACATTTTGGCCATTGTCTTTGACAGCAAAGTTCTTCTCCTCTTCTTCTTTTCATCGCGTGAAATAAATAATACCTATCTGCAATGCTGTCTCTAGTATGAACTTCACTGTCTTATGTAATTTACTTAGCGACCTGTAAAGTTTGGCTTCCACCAGTGTCTCTCTGGGCCAAAAGTTTTCTCTGGAAACGTTGTATTTCTGTTGATAGGAGACGGGTACATAGGGTTGTTCTTCAGTTGCACCGTCCTTAGCTAGTTTATCAGCTCTTTCATTTCTGGGAACTTCACAGAGAATAACTACCTTACATCGTCTGCCTAGTTCAGATTGTAGTGTCCGTTTACCTGGTTATTTTCCAGCCTCAGTAAAGCTAAACTGACAAAACATATTAAGGACAGCAAAATATTAATGCATTTCTTAATATAACGACGTGTGAACAAAAATGAAATTAACGCGCACCCCCCCCCCCCCTCTACCACCCAGAAGAGCTTGCGCCGTAAATGAACTTGCTCGAGTATGTCAAACCTTCTATCCGCCCATGCAGCTGAATCCATGTTCTCCCCGTCTTTCAGTCACATCATTCTCTAATTATCTTACCCATGCCTGCTTTAGGGGCTCTGTGGCTTGACAGTTGTGAACGTACTTCCTAATTTCGAAATACCCGGTTCGATTCCAAGTGCAGGTGATTTAGCAGCAGACCGCTCTGCACTGATTTCGACTATGATAGGGGGCACGTTTTCCGTGGTTGGTTTGTTTTTGTGGTTATTGTTTTTTTGTTAGGATGGGGTAGCCAACCTCAAGCCCAGCCCTACCCTTAGTCGCCTATTACGACATGCCTGGTAGGGTGCAGTGGTACTGTTTATTTGCTTCCCGTGAGGGCCCCGGTGACACACAACCAGCCAAGATAAGGGAAGGCTTCTCGAGTTTAGGAAGTATGACACTGTGTGGAGAAAGCTGAAAGGAGTTCGAATCGTCGAAGGGAAGACCAAGAAAATACATGAAGACGGGAACTAAAAAGTGAGATTAACAAGATGGGGAGGACATGGGGAGAGCTACACGTGATAGGTAAGGATAGAACAACCAGGCGTGAGGTGTTTAAGAGCCTATACTTCCTTTGGGGTTAGAAAGGCAAAAGAAGAAGAGCAAAGGAGGGCCGACTGTCTAGTCACAACTGCACATTCTTCTTCTTCACTTTCTCTGTTACCATTGCTGGTGTCGAGGGAAATATAGGGTTCTGCATTTTGCCTTTCAACCATAGACACATTCTGCGGTTGTAGAGTTTCAACGATGTTATTTTTAATGTTGTGCTTGCTCTACCTAGTGCTCTGCGTTCCTCTCCTCTTTTGGTGATTGCAGCAGTCGCAGAATACTGAACGTAAAATTGCTTAGTAAAACAAGAGCCACTGCATGCTGGGGTTGGTTCTCCAGAGTCCTGTAAAGGATATGCAATTCTTCCTTTGTGTGTATTTGGTCTGCCGTTATTCCGTTGACGCATTGCAAGGATATTCTAAATACATTGTTATCATCATCATCATCATCATCATCATCATCATCAGTTCTCGTTATGCCTAGTGGCACATGAGGCTTCAGAGAGGACTTTCCATGCTTTCCTGTCCTGTGCAATCTTTAATGCAGTTTTCCATGTCAAAGATGCCACACTCAGCTCACTCCATCGTTCGTCTCCATGTTTTTAGACGCCCCTTTTTTCTCTTTGCCTCTGGTGTTAATTACTTGGGCAGTTTTGGTCGTTTCAAACATTGTTCTTACATTCCAGAAGCCAATTCCTATTTTAATTTTAACATCCAGCAGATTTGTTTTCCCATCATGGGTTCCTTTTGGCTTTCACCCATGTTGTTCATGCTGACAGAGGGGCTCTGTCTTAAGACCGCCGGACGATTAGAGCGCTTATTTCCTCTTGAAGTTTCAGTAACGTTGTAGTTTTGTTATCTGCATACGTAAAATTGTTTAGTAAAACACAATAGCCCCTAACATGCTTGGTGACGTTGGTACTGCAAAGTCCTGCAAATAACATGCAATTTCTGCTTATGTGTATTTGGTTTGCATTTATTCTGTTGAAACACAAGGTTCCATTGCAAGAAAACTCTAATTGTATTGTTATCTGTATACTTAAAATTGCTTGGCAAAACAAAAAAAGCCATGAAATACTGTGGTTGGTTCTGCAAAGCGCTGTAAAGGATATGAAACTCTTTCTTATGTGGGGTAATCTGTTGTATGCAGAGCGACTGGTCGAGTGGTTAGAGAGCTGGGCCCTCATGCCTGAGCTCCGGGTTCGATATTCGATAAAGGAAAAGACATTTTTCGGCAGGGAGCAAAAATATAAACCTCAACATGCACATCTGGTGTCGACTGCACTAGCTACTCGGTCTTAGATTCTCTAAATCACAGTTTACCTGTATAGACATCAGTAGTATAGTAGGAGCTGAATCCAGCGACTTTGTCGAGTTTGTGTGTGTGTGTGTGCTCTTTATGCTATACTAATAACCCTAAGCATTGAAAATATAGGAAAACAATTACTTGCCTCACCTATATACCTGTGGTGAGATTGTATTGATGTCGTGTACCCGTGGTGAGATTGTATTGATGTCGTGTACCCGTGGTGAGATTGTATTGATGTCGTGTACCCGTGGTAAGATTGTATTGATGTCGTGTACCTGTGGTGAGATTGTATTGATTTCGTGTAACCGTGGTGAGATTGTATTGATGTCGTGTACCTGTGGTGAGATTGTATTGATGTCGTGTACCCGTGGTGAGATTGTAGTGATGTCGTGTGCCCGTGGTGAGATTGTAGTGATGTCGTGTACCCGTGGTGAGATTGTAGTGATGTCGTGTACCCGTGGTGAGATTGTAGTGATGTCGTGTGCCCGTGGTGAGATTGTAGTGATGTCGTGTACCCGTGGTGAGATTGTAGTGATGTCGTGTCCCCGTGGTGAGATTATATTGATGTTGTGTGCCCGTGGTGAGATTGTAGTGATGTCGTGTACCTGTGGTGAGATTGTAGTGATGTCGTGTCCCCGTGGTGAGATTGTAGTGATGTCGTGTACCTGTGGTGAGATTGTAGTGATGTCGTGTGCCCGTGGTGAGATTGTAGTGATGTCGTGTACCCGTGGTGAGATTGTAGTGATGTCGTGTCCCCGTGGTGAGATTATATTGATGTTGTGTGCCCGTGGTGAGATTGTAGTGATGTCGTGTACCTGTGGTGAGATTGTATTGAGGTCGTGTATTCGTAGTGGGATTGTTTTTTTTTTTATATCATGTACCCGTGGTGACACTGCACACCTACCATAGAGTAACTGTTGAATCTGATATTCTTTCCCGCCAAAGTAGGAACCTGCTGGTCGTCCTGGATACGACGACACTGTTGGATTTCCGGTGACAGGTGGTAATTTATCACCTCCTGCAAGAGTTCTGAGTCTTCGCTGAGTTTGGTTTTGACAGCCACAGGCAAGTTCTGGAACAGAACAAACGAGAATTTGATTGGATTCAAGAACCGACAACACAGCACTCGGGGCATTCCCATAAGCGCTCCGTTCCCATCTTCTGAAGCCAGCGAAGAGTTACGATACTAATGCTGCCAGTAGTATTTTGATTAAACGTCCGTCTTGCCTTTCCCCTGAGCCTCGAGCATCTGCCAGAACCTCTCGCCCCTCCCCACTGCATCAGTCTCACAAGACTGTGGTGATCCTTCTGCTCCTCTGAACTGCACCAGCTCTCATACAAGGCCCTAACCACGCCTGCCCTATCATATATCAGTATTCCACCTAGTTGTACAGAGTCAGCCAATCTGTCCGCCTGTTCATTTCCCAACCGAAAAAAAAAAAAAATCCTATAAAATTACATAGCATAAAACCACACACACGCACATGCACATACACATACACACACACATACAGAGCGAGAGAGAGAGAGAGAGAGAGAGAGAGAGAGAGAGAGAGAGAGAGAGAGAGAGAGAGAGAGGGGGGGGGGAACGCGGCGTCTGTTGCTCAGGCGTTGCGAGTCTGACTCGTGATTCCAACATACTGCGATCGCCAACCACTGCTGGCTGCGTGAATTTTTATAATGGTATGGGGTGTCGCAGGTCAACCCATCCTAAAACGGATACCAGGACGTATGTCATGCATGTCCCAGGGAAGTAAAGACGGCCGGCGTAATGCTGACCCCATTACCTACCTAGTGTCGATTGGTCTGTAAAAACATGGGTGCTCTTCCCATATGCTGCTCTTCCCATATGCCCGATGCGCCTTCAGGCGTGAAAAGGGATCCATACTTACTTTGCTTTTTTAACTTATTGTGAAACCCTTTTAGTGCTTTCTCTCCCGCCTTAGATAGCATTAGGGAAACTGTTTCACCGGAGTGCCATTTGCCTTTGAATGGCCAGAAAACACTATAATTGTAACATGATTTAATATTAATTTGCCTATCTAATCCAATCTTATTTGGAATAATCTGATAATGTTAATCTTGTAATGTTTTGTTTTTCTTACTCTCCACAGTGATCTGTCTGTCTGTCTGTCTGTCTGTCTGTCTGTCTGTCTGTCTGTCTGTCTGTCTGTCTGTCTGTCTGTCTGTCTGTCTGTCTGTCTGTCTGTCTGTCTGTCTGCCTGCCTGCCTGCCTGCCTGCCTGCCTGCCTGTCTGTCTGTCTGTCTGTCTGTCTGTCTGTCTGTCTGTCTGTCTGTCTGTCTGTCTGTCTGTCTGTCTGTCTGTCTGTCTGTCTGTCTGTCTGTCCTTTACAGAACGTCACCTGAAAGTATCCATTTCCCTAGCCAGCTCTTCGGCCCTATGTGTTTTCAATACCAATGCTTCTTCAATGTCCTTATCATCTTCGCGCTGGTCGACCCCTGCCTCGCCTAGCACAGACTGCACCCTCTACCGACGTCTTTTACAATATATTTATATTGGGGGGGGGGGGGGGGGGGGGGGGGGGGGGGGGGGGGGGGGGGGGGGGGGGGGGGGGGCTCCAAGGGGGATGAGCTCCATCTTGCCTATGCACAGGTGCCTATAGTCCAACTTGTGAAAATATAACATGACTAAAGACACCCTTAAAGGCAACAGTTGAAATATAATTACTTTAACCGAAGTTGCTACATTGGAGAGGCTAGTTTTGGAGCTACAGTCAGCAAAGCAAATAAACAATGAGAGAATCAATGCCAGATACCTGGATGGCCTCGTTAGTTGGTACGAAGACAGTAATGTTGGCTTCAGTCTCCAAAGTCTTAGTCAGTCCAGCCTTGTCTATCAGTCGGAGCATTTCGTTGTAGCCTTCCTTCTTGATGAGGTCAATGACACTGAAAGCTGTAGTTGGTCCGTCAAAGAAACACAAGAACACATTAACTATTGTAAAGAGCCCCAAAAAGGTGTTCTCTGTTAATGAAAGGACAACAGTTCTAAGAAGATATCTGGGTGTTCAGTTTCAGAGCGAGCAGTATGGTAAATTTGTTGGGGTAAATTTGTCTTCTCTTTATCTCATCTCATCTTGATCCCCCGGTACTTTGCGGTGTCGAGGTGTAGCATAATTGACGGGAAAGTGCCCGCTTGTGTGCTTCGTAAATGGGGATTCCCAGGGGCTCTGTTATTTCCTCTGTCCATAGTTTGTGCGGTCGACCTCGCTTCCCGCTTAGACTGTACTGTTTGCTGTGGTATACTGTTTGTTGGCATCCCCGTTTTATGGTCAAACCATTTCACTTATTGTTTACTAATAAGATCTAGAGGTGCCGCTACCCCAATTGTTCTTCGGATTCATAGTTTCTTATCTCACCTTTTTTTTGTTATATTAAGTGCGCTTCATATGAATCTTATTTCAGTTATAAACTTTCTTTTCTGTGTTTATGTTATTGTCCAGGTCTGCCATTGATAGCGCAGGGTTGGACAGAAGATTATGTCATTGAGCGTTCTTTTGGTTTCTACTGACACAAGTCTTCTGGTAGAAGTTTAAAAAACAATTAAGACCCTTTTCCATGCCTTCACTCGTACTGGGCATATAGGGCTAGACGTATATTTTATAGACTAATCGGTACTAGCTGAACTATATAATCAGCACCCCGCCGGCCGCCCTTACTTCCCAGGACTGCATCTGGTACCCACTCACGGCTGGGTCTACCTAGAGCCAAGGTAATTCTTTGTACAAAGTCCCGGCTCCGTGAGGACCCGAACCCACGACCTTCCGATCCGCAGGCGAGCGTCTAGCTACTACACCAAGGCCGCTCCCGATCTTTTCTCAGAAGGCCGAAATGGGTGGTGCCGTAGTTTTCAGATATATACTGTCAAGACTTGGCACTATCAGACTTTCATTTGTTTGGCCCATTGAAAGAACAGTTCCTGGGTCGGATATGTGCAGAGAACAATGAGGTAATGTCGTTGGTACAAACTTGGTTATGCCCAAAAGCTTCCACCTGGCGGGCCTCCACAATCTTGTAGATCGGCGGATTGCATCTGTTGCAAGGTAAGGAGACTTTCCAAGGTATGGAGACTATGTCGAGAAACAGGGCACAGAACAATTTTGTGCAGGCTGCTTGTACAGTAAAAAGGTACCTCATCACGCCTTAGGTGCACCGGGTATGTGGGGACAGTGTCCCATATTTTTACAGACCAATCGGCACTGGGTGGGTAATGTGGTCAGCATTACGCCGGGGGTCTTTACTTTCCCAGGACAGCCATCCTGGTACCCATTTCAGGCTGGTCGACCTGCGACGCCCCATACCATGATAAAAATCCACGCAGCCAGCAGTGGGTTTCGATCGCAGTACGTTGGATTACGAGTCGGACTCACAACGCCTAAGCCAAGGACGCCGCTCCGGCTGCTTGTAACAAAGTTATTAACTCAAATGCCTTTTACTTAATGACTTTCCTTCATAGTAAAGTTGCAGTTGTATTAGTAATGGTTGCAATTATGGAATAGTAATTATATTAGTAATAGTAGCAGCAACGGTTGTAAGAACCAACAACTGCGGCATTTACAGTAGTAATACAAATTGTTGTTGTAATTGCTACAGGTTAGTTGCATATCCTTTACAGGACGTTACAGAACCAACCCCAGCAGCCCCTGGCTGTTGTGTGGTTTCTCTAGGCAAATTAACGTCCAGTAGTTTTGCCATTGCTTTCTAGACTGTCGGCCCCCTGATACCACTGTCGAAACCAACGCAAGGCGCATGGCCCTCAGCTGGGATCGAACCCGACACCCTGGCATTACGAAGCGTTCGCATCGACTTAGCCACAGAGCCGACTGTTATTGCTACAGTTGTTACAAATGATGCTGATAATTGGTGTTACTGTGATACCTTTTGGTTACCAGTGGGAATCGCCGTGGCCTGAGCGGCTAGACGCCCGCGTACGGATCGGAAGGTCGTGGGTTCGCGTCCTAACGGAGCAGGACTTTTTTTTCCTTTCCAGAAATGACCTTGACTCCCAGGTCGACCCAGCCTTGAGTACGTACCAGGTGTATTCCTGTGAAGTAAAGGCGGCTGAAGTGATGCTGACCACATCCCCCACCAAGTGCTGATTAGTCTCATAACAATATAGGTCTAGCCCTGTATTCCCAATACGCCTAAAGATGGCAAAAGGCATCTTTTACTTCCTTGTGGTTACCTCTAACCAACACCTGCGAGTTTATAAACAGGGTACAGCGATACATCAGAAGGAGACAGTCATAATTTTTCGGCCATGTTATGAGAAGAGGGAAAATAGAACATGTTGTGACCACTGGAAAGATCTGTGGAAGGAGGGATAGAGGAAGACAACGAGAGAAGATGCTTGACAGTCTTGTTGCATGGCATGGAGGTGTGTCGGCACACGAACTGATACATGCTGCAGGAGATCCCAGAATACAGAGACGAATGATCGCCCACGCCAGTCGACAAGGCACCTGATGATGATGACAACGATACGAACCTTCGTCAGGAACTAGCACCTCTTCAATCACATGCATGACACCATTAGTCCCCACGATGTCTGCCTGGACAATCCGGACTTCATCCACCAGAAGTTTGTTGTCCGCTGTTCTCGTGACATTGATGTATCGATGAAGCTCGTTGGCGGTTTTTGCCTGTCCCTGAATTGCCACAGAGCAGATCACGTTTGGCAGAAGATGGTTCTGAATCACCTCTGTGAAAAACATCAAGTTTGAATTGTTGTAGCATTAGGTATATCATCGTCTGTTGGCTGGTTGGTTCACAAAAAAAAAATAATAATGTCGACGACGTTCAACTTAGATAAATGCACGGTAACTATAGCTTTCGATTTTTATGTTGACTAGTGTGTCCTTCTATCTTTCTACTTCTTTCTATGAGTGCCGATCAATACATTTTCTGTTACTTTATTAATATATAATATATAACGGACTCAAGTGGT